CTTGTCCTGGCCGGCAGGGCAGGCAGCTTGTTTATTCCCCCGGCGGAGCCGTTTCCGCGCGTGCTGGGGAAGCGCCTCATCTGTTCTGGGGTATGGGAGCCGGCAGTGGGGGGGGGGGGGGGGGAGCGGGGAGAAGGCGCTCAGGATGCAAGAGAAAGGTGCAGAGGGGCGCAGAGAGGGGCTCACTGAAAGTGTGGATAGAGTGGAGGGCGCAGGGAGGACTCGGGGCCGCAATGAGCGAGTAAGGACGCGGAAGTGGAGGCACAGGGAGAGGACTCACGAGGCGCACTGAGAGGGTGGGGTGCACAGGGAGAGCGCACGGCTAGCAGCGCGCTTGGGGATGTGGGAGTGTAGAGCTCAGTGGGATACCTGCAGTATGGTCAGTGCTTCCCTTTTTCTCCCTCCCTCACCACTAAGACATTGTTTCCCCCACTGGGTGATGGTTTTCAGATCACATCAAAACCAATAAACCAAACTCATTGCGGTTGAGTCTGGACTCTTAGTGACCCCTCCTTGGGTTTCTGAGGCAGTATCTCTACACAAGTAGATTGCCCAATCTTCCTCTCAAGGAGTGGCTGCTGGGTTTGAACTGCCAGCCTTCTGGTTAGCAGTCAGATGTCTTAGGCACTATGCTACCAGGTTACATCAAGGAGCTGGATAATTCTGAAGATAGTGTTCATCCAAGGGTTCCTGAGCAGGCCAGGTAGGGACTTTTAGACTTTACAATGCCCTGGAACCTAGACCTGTGCTGAACTGGCGAACACTCCCTTGCTGGGGCCCCTGGGCCCCATCTTTAGTCTCCTCTGAACCAAGGGCAGATGAGTGGTGAGTCTGTGAATTCTCTTTTCAGTGAGGGCAGCAGGCTTATATGAAGTGCCAGGAGATGGGGCTCACCTTCACACTTGGCTCTTCCTCCACATTGGGATGTCCCTTCATCCTTCTAGGTGGGGTCTAGTGCCTAGTCCCTAAGTGGTGCAAACCAAACCCTTGGTTACTAATTAAAAAGTTGGTGGCTTGAACCCTCTCAGAGGCACCTCAGAAGAAAGACCTGGAGATCTGCTTTTGAAGGGTCCCAGCTACCCTGCAACACATGGCTTCCATGAGTTGGAATCGACTGATGGGCAACTAGTGGCTGATTGACATGTTCTGCATGGCCCAGAAGCAGCCCCTGAATGGTACCCTGCAGACTGAGCTATCTATTTCCAAGAAGGCAATGGAGCTGCTAGCCAGCCAGCTCAGCCTCAGTTTTGAACTCCCTGATCAGACTACATATCCACTCTCCCTCCTGGGTTCTGGGGGCTATTGCTCCAGGAAGAGGGGAGTTGGTAGGTAGGGGAGGCAGAGGCTAGGAGATGTCCTCCCGTTCTACCCCAAGTCCAGCAACACCACCCCAAGGCTCTTGTCAGTCAGGAATCTGGTCTGTGGTCAGCTTCCAAAACCAAAAACCAAGTCCACTGCTATAGAGTTGATTCCAACTCATAGTGACCCCCACTGGGTTTCTGAGGTGGTAAATCTTTACGGAAGTAAACTGCTCCATCTTCCACAGAGCGGCTGGTGGGTTTGCACTACCAACTTTCTGGTTAGTAGTCAAATGCCTTAGGCACTGCACCACCAGAGCTCCTTGGTCAGCTTCCAGGGGAAGCTAAATCCTAGGACACCAGCTTCATACCTCCCGGAGGCAGAGCACAGGCTTCTTAAAGGTCTTTTAAAAAGCACTTAGTCAATGTCAACCTGGCCTCTTGCACTGCTGGGATTAGTGTAGCAGGGAATCGGAGAAGAGGAAGGACAGGGCCCCTTAGCCCTCTCAGCCTAGGTTATGGAGACTGTGAAATGGAAGGGAGCCATTTTCTCCTGGCCTCTGTATGGATGTTGGCCCCTGGGGGAGGCCATGTCTGCTGTGCGCTGCTGCCACCTGGAATGATTGGAGGAGAAAAAGGCTAAGTACAGGGCACTGATGCCAGCCCAGCCCAAGCACAGCCAGGGCTGACCCATTTTGTGGCTGCTTCTGTCGCAGTTACAAAATGGTGGCCTAGAGGGGACAAGATTCCTGGCCTTCCCCCAGGGAGTGGGGGGATGTGATGTAGCTAGTGCCCTCCCAGCCTGGCTTCAGGCCAGGAAAGAGGGTGGTGCAGTCTCCAGCTGTGCCCCTAGGGAAGGAGGGGCTGGTAAGCTGGAGGCAGGATTGGGTTCCTGAGTCCTCACTTCCCCCATTCCTGGGGAGGGGGTGGGGTGGACATTTGAAAAAGCTTTCAGTTGACATCTGAGACAAATTCTTCCACATGGTTTATAAGTCCCTAGACTTGTAGCTAGAACTTCCCTCCTCCCCCCAGGCACGCATGCACACACACATGCGCACTCACGTCATGTGCTCACATGCAGGCGCTTGTGCTTACGCACATTCACACACAGACATCACACTGGCCTTTCCTCCAGCACAAAAGGGAGTGCTCAGAGTGGGGCTGAGATGGGGGCTGGGCCAGGGTGTGGAACTGAACCCTGGACCTCAGGAACCTGGCCTGGGCTTGATGTGGGTTCTGTCAACTTGTGGAGGCTGTGATTCCTTCTGAAGCCCTGCCTTGTCCAGGTGAGCTGGTACCCCTGCTGACAAAGAGGGGAACTCTTCATCTGTGAGGTGGCTAAGACAGTTTCTCTTAGGGCCTTTGTACTGTTTCTTGGGTTAGTGAGAGGCAGAGAGGAGCCCCTGATGGCTTTCTTAGAATGGATTGGTTGGGTACTATCCAAACTCAAGGAAGACAATTCTCCTTTCCCTTAGGGTCTTCAGTTAGGTTGGATCCTGCTTCTGTCTTGGAGTGATCCTCTTTGGGGAAGATCAGCTAGGGGAGGAGAGGCATCTGAGGAAGATTGTAAGGAATTTCTGCCTGCCACCATCTGGTGAAATCCAGTGTTAGGGGCCTGGTGACTGGTGGGGCATCCACTCTGCAGATAGAGTATCCAAGGGGGATTAGTTTCAGGACCCCTGTGGATAACAAAATCTGTGGGTGCTCAAGTCCTTTATATAAAAAGACATGGTATTTGCAAATGACCTACAGACATCGTCCATATACTTTCAATCATCTCTAGATTACTTAGAATACCTAATACAGTGTATCTGCTATATAAATAGCATTTTACTCTCTCTTAGCACTTAAGGTATTGCTTTGACCAGGTAATTGTCTTCTCCCCTACCTTCCACCCAGAATATTTAGATCCTCGGTTGGTTGAATCTGGGGTTGTGGACTCTGGGAATACATAACCTGTGGATATAGAGGGCCAACTGTATGTGTATGTGCTGTTATATGTGTGTATGTGTTGAGTGGTCTGGAGAAATCTTTCTTTAGAATGTTCCCTGAGCCTTAAGCTCCTGGGCAACATCATTGTGAGCTGCAGAAACTGGAAAAGTTTTTTTTTTTTTTTTTTCAGTGAATCCATTTCCATAGACGTAGATCACACTACACATTTGTAGAGGATGGAGTGCAGTGGGGGTCAGTGGTAACAGTTATAAAGTGACTCACTTAATCCACACAGCAGCCTATGAGTTAGGGAGTAATATTACATCCATCTTGAATCAAACTCATGGCAGTCGAGTCGGATCTGACTCATAGCAACCCCTCCTTGGGTTTCTGAGACAGTATCACTATGGAAGTAGATTGCCCAATCTTCCTTCTGAGGAGTGGCTGAGGGGTTTGAACCACCAGCCTTTTGGTTAGCAGTCAAATGTCTTAGGCACTACATCACCAGAGCTCCCTATGTCCATCTTAGAGGTAAGGAAACCAAAGTATAGAGAGATCCAAGTAAGTGGCAGGGTCTGGCTGTGGGCCATGGCAATGTACGTCCAGAATCCATACCCTTATCCACAAGGCTCCTGGACTGACTTTCCCTTGACACCCAGTTAGTGTGAGCAGGCCCAAGGAAGGAGTTCATCAGCACATCTAAGGAATCCAAAGACTGAGAGCAGGATTTTCAGCAATGCTCTCCTATTTTCCTGAGAACTTCCACAGAGAGAGTTACCATGACCCAGAGGAGGCATCTCATTGTTTATAGAAGCAGTTGACAGGGGCTACTAGGTCATCTGTGGTAGTCCCCTGAAATGTCAACCCAGAATTTTAGCTGGCAAAGGGCAGGAAGGAAATAAAGGCTGCCAAGTTGGTGTCACAACTCCTCTCTCACAATCCTGACCAGGAATTCTGCTTCAGCTACTCCATCGTTAGGCCTAAATCTTAGCAAATTATGGGATGGGGTAGAGTGAGATCATTGGATTTGGAAAACTTTGTTAATCTTCCTCCCAGACACACAGACTGACAGCCGCAGGGGCCCTGAGAGAGCAGCTAGTACAACCCTCTCCTTGTGCAGGGGGAGGCCAAGGCAGAGAGGCAAGTGACTTGTGCAAGACCACACAGCTATGACCAGGGCCAAGATCTCTTGCTAAAAGGACCAAAAAAGAAAAGAAAAATGAAAACTAATTGCTATCGAGTCAATTCTGACTCACAGTGACCCTATCGGATAGGTTTCCTAGACTTTAATCTTCATAATCTTTTGTGGTACATAGGATGGCTATAAATTGAAACTGACTCGACAGCACCTAACAACAACAATCTTTAGAAAAAGCACACTGCTACATTTTTCTCCTGTGGAGTGGTTAGTGGCTTCAAACCGCTGGTCTTTCAGTTAGCAGATGAGTACTTAACCACTGCACCACCAGGGCTCGTGCTAAAAGGACCAAAACTTATTGCCATCTAGTTGATTTCAACTCATAGTGACCCCCATTGGGTTTCCACGATCATGGAAGCAGACCACCTCATTTTTTTTCCATGGAGCATTTGGGGGGTTTGAACCACAGACGTTTTGGTTAGCAGCTAAATGCCTTAACCACCATATCACTAGAGCTCTTTTGCTAAAAAGACAGTACTTCTTAAAGGCCTTCTGCCACTTGTCTTTTGCTCTGTGTCATCTTTTCTGATGCTGTCTCCACACCTCCTGCCTCACCCCTTGGCTTCTCCCAGGAGGATGTTCCCCAGTTACAAGGTAAAGGTCACAGGCATGAACCCCAAGACCAAGTACATCCTGTTGATTGACATCGTCCCTGCTGATGACCACCGCTATAAGTTCTGCGACAACAAATGGTAAGAGGCCTGGGACCCAAACCACATCACCAGCCTTCCCTTCAACTGCTCTTCCAGTCATCTCCCCCACCCCCACCTGATGTTTCTGCCAAGGATTTACAGTTAGTTTAAATGATTGTCAGGATCCACAGACTTTCACTCCCTGGAACTTGGATTGCAGAGCCTGGGGAGGATCGGCAGATGTTTGCACACCTGCTGCAGGTGGGCCTGGGGGGAGGCTGAAAATGAGCTGCAGTGTTTGGCTGTTTGGTAGATTCCAAGGGCCTCTGCCCACAACTATGTGCAATCAGGGCTTGGTGACTGTGCTGTCAGGTGACGGACAACACTGGGCAGAGTCAAGTTCTGGCAGGGTTGCACTGCCCAGAGGGATGGGAACTGTTTTCCTGGGGAACTCTGATCACTTAGGGCCCAGTTACCTATAATCCACTCACCTCCTATTTGTGTGGCTGCATGTCTACCACCTTGAGTGAGTGAGGCTCTGCCTGGGTAGTTGGTGGTATGACTCTTTGGCAAGTGAATGAGGGAGACAAGCAGAGTAAGGGGTAAAATCAAATTGAGGCCTGGTCAATACATGCTGGATTACTTTTCATGAGGCCAACTCCTTAATACAATACCTTGTTTGCCCTCTGAGCTCAGAATAGGGCTCAAGAAGAGAGAGGGATAAAGGAATCAGCAGTCATTCAGGACGCTGGCTCTGCGGCGGGTGGCTGGGTGGCAGAGCTGGCAGAGATTGGGTAAGGAGGCAGAATTGGGTGGTCAGGTCCCAAGCAGACCTTCTTTCTCTGGGCTGGGTTAGCACTAAGCAGACTCTAGCTGCAGGCACAACTACCAACTAATTAACCACCATGATTTTGGGGCAAGCAATTCATAAGTTGTCTAAGTCCTCTGAGAAGCTCCCTCTAAGTAATATAATGTATACCATTTAAAAATTGTGAAATATAACACACACAGAGAAAGGCCTAGATCTTGTCATAATATCTTTGCAATGAGCCCTAGTCTGTCAAATAAATAACCACTTTCCCCCATCATCTCCTTTTCTCTTTCTACTGCAGTAAGATACAAGAGGTTTAGAATTGCTACCCCCTTCTCACCACTCTTGCTGTGCCCCTCAGTCCCATCCTCAGAGTCCTAAACTGACAATGTGATGTGACTAACCCTTGTCCTTTATCTGGTCTCTGGGGATTTGCTCCTGGAGGGGACAGGGAATCTGGGTGTCACCAGACCCTAGAGTAATCAGCTGCTACTGCTCTGTCTGCTCTGTTGGCAGGATGGTGGCAGGGAAGGCTGAACCGGCCATGCCAGGAAGGCTGTACGTCCACCCAGATTCTCCTGCCACTGGGGCCCACTGGATGCGGCAGCTGGTCTCCTTCCAGAAACTGAAGCTGACAAACAACCACCTAGATCCCTTTGGCCATGTAAGAATGGGGACTGCCCCACCTCAGGAGCAAGTCCTGGAGCAGTGTTGGGGGTGGGAGCATCCACTCTAGGGAGTCAGTTCCAGGCTCTGGCACTTGCTGGACGAATTTGTAAAAGGAGTACACACTTCTGAGTCCCACAGACTGGCTATAAATTCTTCCCCTACTACTTACTGGAGGGTCACTTGGGGCAAGTTTCTTCACCCCTGTGAGCCTGAGTTTCCTTGGCTGCAGAGTGATGATGACCGTATGTACCTTCATGGCTGTGAGGGTTAAATGGAGAATATGCGTAAAGCACTTGCACAGAGGGGCTCTAAATAAATGGCAACCATAACGAGGACGATGAAGTGCCAGATCTCTCTGCAGTTTCCCAAAACTTGGCCTTGCCAGAACACAACATGAGACAAGTAGACCTGGGGGAAGGGGCCTTGATGACCTCTGGAGGCCCTCTTTGGAGTGTGCTGTCTGCCTGGCCTGATAGCTGCCTGCTTTCTGGAGGCGAGGCCTTGCTCTGGCTCCTGGGTCAGTGCCTTCCTGGCCTTGCCTGGAACCTGGCTCTCACAAGAGGGATTCTGGAGCCCCAGGGATGCTGCTGCTGACGCCCCATCCAGGCTGCTGAAGCTCATTCTTTCCCCATCTGGCCCTGGCAGGCCCTCAAAAAGGAGTTTTTATGTGGAAATTTTTAGCTCAAGTGCGTGTCAAACAGAAACCTGGGGACCTGGTGTTATCTGCCAGGGCACAGGCCCTGCCCCTCTAGACTACCCATGGTTCCTCTGGAAGCATGGGTGAGGGATGGTGGGGTGAGGGGTACAGTAGAGGCTGCTAGGTGCAGTTGCCTGTGTTGCACACATGGCATTGTGCTTGTGGCAGGGGTGGAGGTGGAGAGAGAGCACGGGTGGGGATGTGTGCAGGTGTGTCCCTCTTTTATGTCTCAGTTCTGTTTCTGGGGAGTTGTGTGCGAATCAGAATTCTGTGAATCATAGTTCCTCATGGAAAACCCCAGCAATGCTTTATTTATGATTGATTGGTATGCAACAGGCAAGCAGCTCCTAGCTTGAATTCTCTCACAGTCTGTTCCGCTCTCTTCTAAGTTTTTAGTGATCTATATAAATAAGCAACTAGGAGAATCTTTTATGAATGTAATTAACTCCTGAGTTATCTGTTTTGTGAGCCCATATGTTGGATTTTTCCATGCTAGGCAGGTAGGTCCTGCTGGGTGTATGCTAGACAGAGCTGAGAGGTGAACACAGGCACAGTGGCATGTCCACATTGGGATGCAGCCCCAACCTCTGGGATGGTGGCAGAATGGACAGAGATAAGCCACTGACCCAATGGGAAGGATCAGCCATGCCCCAGCCTCCCAGAGCCCCAGGGCTCTTTCACTGAAAGGCAGAGGCAGCTTTCAGATCTTCTTGTACACCATCCTGGTCCAAGACTGGTTGACTCCTCCCTGCTCTCTGTTCGGCCAGGCTATGGCACCAACCTATAAAGGTCAGGGAGGGCCTCTGTTGTGGGAGGCTAGGGACCCAAGCTAGCAGGCACAGTTTACCCTCAAATGCATACACATACAGATCCCATGGGTCACACCACTGAGGTGAGTATAGAGCTTGGCAGGAACTGAGGCTTTGGGTGGTTAGAAATACCCAGGGGATCAAAATGCTGGTGAGAATTTGGATGCATCAGCTTGTTATGGTTCCCAGCTACAGGAATCCCTCAGAGGACTCTGCCACTACCCAAGCCCCTAGAGAGAATGAGTGGGGAGGGAGTCAAGCAGTTGAAAAACTGGGCCTTCTTTGAGACATGAGAGAGAAATGTGGCCTTTAAAGCCCAGCAGTAGGTTTCCCCAGCCTGGTTTCCTCTTTGCTGGCGCCATCTGGGTCCTTAAGTGGTTTGCAATAAGCCTGCAGACAGTCTGAGTCTGGGCCAGTGGGGCTGCTCACTGGGGTTACAATGCTAGGGCACCTCTGACCACACTTGCCATGTCTGGCTGCGGCTCCCTTGTCTTTGGCTATAGGGATATGACCACATACTAACAGCTTTCTCCCTGGCAGGATGGGATACAGAGTATCTCCCTTCTCTTTTCAACCCTGCATTGATCCAGAAATTGCAGTTCATCGATTACAGTCTATCCTGTGGGGATGGCAGGGCTCCAGAAAGATGAGGTGCTCATCTTAGGAGCTAGGAGTAAAGAACAGGCACTTGGACCCATACCCTCTGACTCCCAGTCCAGCACTCCTTTTGCTTCGCCATCTATCTTTCTGTACCCAGGGCTCTAGTATTTTGTCTTTAAAGCCCACCCCCCCACTTTTTAAACAAACAAACTCTTCCTTCTGTACAACTCACCTCTGTATCTTTCAGTTTTCCCTAAAATCTTCCAAGCCTCATGAACTTTTTCCAACCAAATGAACTTTGGATTTTCCCCTGGGGTCCTCATAGTATCTTCAGGGACTTTAGAGCTGGCTTGCGCTGGCAGCCTTCCCCACTGTCCCCATCCAAAGGACTGGGATCTTTCCTTGGGAGCTGGGGCTGGGGCCATGTGATGAAGAAAGTATCAAAAATGGTTGTAGCATCATCTTATGGTCAACTGGGTGGGCTCACTGTCCTTTTAGCTTAGCTGTCCTAAAGTCCAGGTCACCCCATTTTCTTATGCCAGAAGTTGGGGAGGAGTGGCTGAGAGGCCATGTGTCAAGGAGAAGGGAATCCTGGTTGTGGGAGTGTAGAATAGCCATTTTGGGATAGTCTGTGTTGTACTAGTTTCCCTATCGGCTAAGACACCCTTCCCAGCATACATGCGAATTTCATCTATTGTCTGAGGGTCCAAGAGAAAGATCCAGGGTCCAGATGGAGATTTGGGCCTGGCAGTCATTCCTGCAAGGCAGGTTGGGACCCTCAAACCACATGGCCAGATGTTCCTATAAAACAGGACTGGGTTCCACCTAGAAAACTCCTTGTAGGTTGTTGCTGTGAGTCCAGAAAAGCTCTCTGTTTTTTTGGGATCAGTGTAGGGCATGACCACTGGGTTCTGGGAGCAAGCCCAAGGCCAGAGAATGGGCAGGCAGGCATGGGCAGGAGAGACCTGGCGGGCTAGCACAGGATTGAGCTGTGTCCAAAAGCCAAAATTCAGCTCCACTTCTATTGTTCTGCTGGCTACAGAGCCTGCTTGCCCATTGTCCCCTCCTACTTGCCACACCTCCTATATGGTCCTACACCAGACTACTATGTGATGGAAGGAGAAGCTACTTGTTTTTCTTCTTATACTGTAAATAAGAGCCCAGCAACGCCAGGGCTTCAGAAGTCTGAGAGGGCCTCAATGGGGTGTGGCTGGGCTGCACCCTGTGCAGAGGACATCAAGGGGGTCGGCAAGTCAGTCTTGCATTTCTCCTAATCTGGAGGCAGGCCAGGGAGGAAATGGCTACAATGTACTGAACATGCCCTCATGCTGGGACCTGAGTCCCAGAATATGAGGTGTTGTGTGACTGCGTGTGAAGGCGGATGGTCGTCTTCCTCACCGCTTACACCCCAGAAATTCCAGGTTGCTGAGGAGGAAGGGGCAGCTTATGATTTCTGACATAATGAGTCTAACCATCCAATATGCTGAGTTAGCATGTGTGGGGAAAAAAAAAAAAAAAAGCCAAACTCACTGCTGTTGAGTCAATTCGACTCATAGCGACCCCTCCTTGGGTTTTCGAGGTGGTATCACTTAGGAAGTAGATTGCCCAATCCTCCTTCCGAGGAGTGGCTGGTGCAGGCCTCTCAAAGTGCCAGCTCCTCTGACAGCCACTTGGCTCCACTCTTTGTGGAGTCATCTTCCCATTCCCTTTACCTAGTTAACTAAAACTCACTGTTGTCGAGTTGGATCTGACTCATAGCGACCCCTCTTTGAGTTTCTGAGGTGGTATCACTACAGAAGCAGTGCCCAACCTTCCTCCCAAGGAGTAATTAGGACTTCGGATCTGAGTGCAAATACAACTTAAACACACACACACACACACACACATATGTTTATAGGAGCTTTAGTGGCATACTGCCTAAGGTATTTGACTGCTAACAAGAAAAGAAGACTGGGCAATCTATTTCCATAGATTTACCCTTCCTTCCCCATCTACCCCTGGCAACCATCAAAGAATATATCTTTTTTTGTGAAACCCTTTTCTTAACTTCTTACAATAGTGGTCTCATACAACATTTGTCCTTCAAATGCCACTCCTGGGAGACAGTTCAGGATCTCCCATATGTTCTCTTAGAGCTCTACGTACCTTCTCTTCCTAGTACTTGCCACAGTTACAATTCTGCACTTCTTTGTATTTTTAAAATTTAAATTAAAATAGGAAATAATTCACATAATTCAAAAATAACTCAGTGAATAAGTGAAAATATACACAAAGACATCTCTCTCCACTTGATACCCAGTTTCTCCCATACTTCCCCATAGGTAACCACCTGTGCTATTAATTTCTTTCCAGCATGGCTTTATGCATATGCAAGCAGATATGAATACATAATCTCAAATCTCCTCTTTTATACAGCAAGATCACATACTATAAACACTTTCTGCATCCTGCTTTGTAAACTTGGAGGAGATTATCCCATTCATAGAGAGTTTCCTTGTTCCTTTTTTACAGCTGCATAGAATTCCATTGCAAGACTGTCCCAGAATGTAACCAGTCCCTTCCTCAAGAACTTGGGTGTTTCCTATTTTTTGCTTTTTGGAATAAGCTTGCACATACGTCATTCTGTGCCTTCATCAGGCATATCTTTGCAATAAATTTCTGTCTCAATGGGTATATGGGTTTGTAATTTTGAAAAAATACTGCCAAATTATCCACTATAGATTGATGTACATTCCCACCGCTGCTGCAGCCTCACCAACAGGGTGGGAGAGCAGTTTCAGATTTTTGCTTGTCTGGTAGGTAAAAAATACACCTCAGTTTTAGTTTTAATTTTCACTTCCTTTATTATGAGTGAAGAAGCTCTGGTGGTGTAGTGGCTAACCAAAAGTT